TATGGGGGGGAACGCGCAGATCTGCCCTCACAGAGCAGGGAGAGCTTGTACCTGAATAAAACTTGGTCTTAAAGGTGCCACTGGACTGTTTTGGACCGGAAGGAGCTCTGCAACGTACCTGGCTGCTTCTTGCTCTGACTGAGGGCTGCTGGGAGCAGAGGGTGGGGCTTGTTGCATGTGCCCGCCCCCCGGGCTCTTTACTGCTGGAGCTCCGCTCCTGCGCGCTCCTGCAGGAAAGGACCCCTGGTTAGAACTGAAGACTTTTGGCAGGTACAAGCTTAATATAGGTAATTCAAAGAAAAGCCCCTTCCTTCCCCCAAGCACACCCCACACCTAACATTGCCATCCCAACCAAGTGAAAGATATCTGTCTTGGTTATCAGCAGTCCATGTTGCTACAGATTGTCTCTCAAGGACACCTTCCCCCGGGAAACAGAAAGGAGGCTGACTTGTGAAGTTATGTCTCCTAGAAGCGAAAGGTCTGGATCTCCCACTCATTCGCTCCACCCTCCTCCCCTTAGGAATTCCACCCACCCACCCACTATGACAACCAAAGCCAGCAAAGCATAGCATGGCTCAACAATCTGCTTCGTCCCCCCAACACGAAATCTCCTTCTCATAGCCACCACGTCTTCCCTCCCTCCTTCCACCGCCTCTCCTTCCCTCCTAAAGGCGCCTCTGGAGCTTGAAGCGACGCGTTCGGATCCTGCTCTGCGGGAAAGGGCCGAGGGGCTCTCCCAGGATCAGAAGGAGAGGACGGGGAGAGGGGGGGGGGCTGTCTTTCACGCCCTGCTGCACCCCCTTCCCTTTTCTCTCTGCTTTAGGTCTTGCATTGCGGCCCCCAACCCCCCCAACCCTTGAACTAACCACAAATCCCGTCAAGCCATTAAAGCAGCAGCCCGGGGAAACAGAAAGCCGACTCTGTAAGGGGGGCAGGAAATGGCTTTTTCCCCCCCCCGCCCCTCCCAACTACCTCTCTAGGACTGCAGGTTTTCTCTCTTTAACCCCTAGAGAGCTTTTCACCAGTTCAAGGGACCCAGGTCAGAAAATGCAAATAGAGCCTCGGACGAAAGGGCATGTGAATCTAGCCTCCAACAAATCTAGAGACCAGTGGCAGTGTGGCACCTTGAAGACCAACAGAGGTTTCTACAAGGTATGAGCTTTCGTGTGCAAAGCACACTTTTTGCACACACAAGGTCATACTTTGAATAAACCTTTCTTGGTCTTAAAGGTGCCCCTGGTCTCTAGATTTGTTCGACTGCTGCTGATTACCTGGATCCAGCATCCAACAAACAACTACGATGCCCCCACCGTTTCATCCCTAGAGCCGCCTTGCCAATCGCTTTAGTGATAATGATCGGGGCAGGAATCGGCCTTACCGAGTTTTCTAAGACGACGGCAAATGAGGTTTTAAACTCATTGGCAGAATACGCTGTGTCAAATGTGAAGCCCAACACGCTTCGTATGTGGTCACCCACGAAATGGCAGGTGTCTCGTGTGAATCCAGCATCAAATAAACAACTGCGACAGTACCCCTTTAATAAGGATCAGGGCAGGATTCCGCCGCCTTATCGTTCTCTGAGATGATTGACGGCAAATGAGGTTTTACGCTCATTGGCAGAATACTCTGTGTCAAATGGGAAGCCCAACACGCATCGTATGTGTTCACCCACTATAACGTTTTCTCTAACTGGAAGCCACCAGGAGAAAGTCTGATTAAGAACATAAGAACACAGGAGATGCCAATGTTGGATCAGGCCAAAGGCCCATCCAGTCCAACACACAGTGGCCAGAAATACCAGTGCCATCAGGAGGTCCACCAGTGAGGCCAGGACATTAGAAGCCTTCAAATACCTGTGCACATATATCTGATTCGATGTTTACATGGCACTTTTTTTATACAGATGGTGACAGACAGGAAAGAACCCTTTTTTAGCTTTCACATGTAGTATAGTGCAGCCCAACCTCATCAGATCTCGGAAACTAATAAGATGGGTTGGTACTTGGAAGGGAGACCGCCAAGGAAGACTCCGCAGAGGAAGGCAAAGGCCAACCACCTCTGCTCCATCACTTCCCTTGGAAACGCCAAGTAACGAGTAAAAAGGTGGAGGTGCACATCCAAGAGCACCTCTGGTTTGTAGCTATACTCTCATGTCTGCAAAAGCGGATGCCATAAATAGGTGCCACTGGACCATTTGTTGTTCTCATACTCCCCATTCACTGTCTGCAAAACAGAAGTAGTGATCACACACCCCACACACAACCCAATTGTGTGCATGACTGAGACAAGACTGTAGCGGAAATAAACTGCAGAAAGCACATTAAAATATCTTCTCCGTGATTCTATTTCTTGGTTAAGAAACTAAGAGACACCATGATGGATCAGGCCAATGGCCCATCTAGTCACACAGTGGCCAAAAATACCAGGTGCCACCAGGAGCTCCACCAGCGGGGCCAGAACTCCAGAAGCCCTCCCCCTGTTGCCCCCCAACCAGGGTTCACTCTAAGCTTAGTTGGTGTGAGCTAGCTCACAGTTTTTTAGCCTCCAGCTCACAGATCTTTACTCTAGCTCAGGAAGGATGGCCTCAAAGCAAACTAAATTATGCAGCAACCAAATGGCTTGCTCACAACTTTAATACCCGTAGCTCACAAAGTAGGATTTTCACTCACAAGACTCCACAGCTTAGAGGGAACATTGCCCAACCACCAAGAATACAGAGCATCACTGCCCCAGATATAGCGATCCAACTATACCTTGTGGCTAATAGCCACTGATGGACCTCTTGCGATTCTTAAAGCTAGATTTGTGTCCATTTGGCATAGGGTTTGACCTGTTTGCCCTATGTAGAGAATGGAAGGGCATTATTGGCATTTATTAGACTACTGTATATTGTATGTGTCATATTGTATACATCATTAAATGACTCACCAGCAAGCTGGCATAACAGTGTAGGGATCTGAGCCTGGCTCTCCCAGATGTGTGTGACACTGTAATCGCTGGCTGGCTGCAGTTAGGACAACTCCACACATTACAGTTGTTAGTCCAATGTTGTATCTGAGTTTGCTGCAGTGGACAAATAGGGGGTACGTGTGTATATACATTTTCAAATACCTGTGCACATATATCTGGGAAATCAGATTGGCACTGGATTCCAACATATTAAATTGGATATCTAGTACATTTTTATCCTGCCCATTCCCCCAAGCTGCACAGAGTGCTGTCTGTTATTTTCTCATCCTCTGTCTTATCTTCACAACAACCTTGTGAGGTAGGCTTAGGTTTATGTGATAGTCAAATATAGGCTCACTCACAGCTTGAATGCTAGTAGCTCACAAACGATGATTTTTGCTCACAAGATTTCAGAGCGTAGAGGGAACATTGCGGGGGGGGGGAACTCTTGCAATCTACTTTGGGTTTTTTGAGTGAAATATGACAACCAGCATTACAGGTCAAGTATCACAGAGGTGGAACAATCACTGTCAGAACCCTGCCTAACCTAACAAACAGAAAGTTGCTTAAATGTTATCAACCTGCCCAAACTACTTATTTATTCAAATATTTCCCCTGTGACTCAAGGCCGCTTACAAATCATACTGAAAAGCATAATAGTAAAGGTAAAGGTTTCCCCTGCTTGAAAGCCAGTCGAATCCGACTCTAGGGGGTGGTGCTAATCTGTTTCCAAGCCAAAGAGCCAGCGCTGTCCGAAGACATCTCCATGGTCATATGGCCAGCATGACTATAAACACCGAGGAGCACAGAATACGGTTACCTTCCCACTGAAACGGTACCTATTTATCTACTTGCAATTTCTTTCTTTTGAACTGCTAGGTTGGCAGGAGCTGGGGCCAGAGACAGGAGCTCACTCCGTCATGCAGCACTCGGATCTCAAACTGCTGAATTACCTACCTGCTGGCCTGCAGTTCAGCATCTTAACCACTGAGTATGCAAAAACTTCCCCCCCCCCAGGCTCAATTATAGCTTATGGGGACCATTATAGTCAATGGGTCCCATAGGCTATAATGGAGAATTGACCCAGGAGTACCTGGTGCTCTGAGGGCTGGTTTTTTGTTTTTTTTTAGGTAGAGGCACCAAATTTGTATCATAGTTGCTGGTGCCTCTCTTCAAATCCCCCCCCCCCTCCAGTTTCAAAAAGATTGGACCGGAGGGTCTAATTCTATGGGCCCCAGAAGGAGGTGCCCCCATCCTCCATTGTTTGTGAGCTGAAGCAGAAATCCTCTGACCTAGCCTCTGAAATGTTGTGCGCCAACGCCCCTTAGCACAGCTTAGAGGGAACTGTGCTTGGGGGGGGTATCATATGTTCTCCACCAATCTCTGCCATGCCCCTGCTTGGCAGAGGGCACATGGGCAGCAGGTTGTGGCTTGGCCATTGTGCTAGAGTTGCCAGCTCTTCTTTGGGAAATTCCTGGAGGTTTGTGGGCGGTGCTTGGAGATGGTGGAGTTTAGGGAGAAGGAGCTCAGCGGGGATATAAAGCTTTAATGTCTGCAATCTGAACAGCCACCTTGATCTCTGTGGTCTGGAGATAAGGCATAATTCCATAAGAACTCCAGGCCCCACCTGGAAATTGGCACCCTGACTCATCTGTGGGGCCCAATGGAGTGTTACAGAAATCACAGGCCTCTGTTATGCTGCCCAGTTGCTGAGTTTCCTCCCTGTCTTCTAGCACTCGGGGGGGGGGGTCAAAAAGCTGTAGCCAATAGCCAAGTGGGAGTTGCTTATGGACCTTTCTGCCACTCAAAGGGACATCACAGAGCACTGCTCTTTGATTAGTAGGTGGTGCTGGGGCTGCTGTGAATCACTGTGAAATCCAAGTTTTCACAACTTGGCTGTCAATATGTGAAATATTTTATGCAATCTATTAGTACACTGTTTTATTAAATTGTCTGTAATCTTACTCCTCAGTTTAACATCCTTTAACAGTATAAAAGTGCCTACATTTTTTCCCCTATGTGAATTCTCTGGTGGGACATAAGACCATTACTTCCACTGAAGCTCTTTCCACACTCCAGGCAATTATATGTTTTCTCCCTTGTGTGAATTCTTTGATGTCCAGTAAGGTGTGACCTCTGACTGAACTTCTTTCCACACTCCAGGCATTTATACGGTTTCTCTCCTGTGTGAATTCTCTGATGGGAAGTAAGACTGTCGCTCCAAGCAAAACTTTTCCCACACTCCAGGCATTGATATGGTTTCTCCCCTGTGTGAATTCTTTGATGACACTTCAAGGTTCTACTCTCACTGAAGTTTTTCCCACACTCCAGACACTGATATGGTTTCTCCCCTGTGTGAATTCTTTTATGGGAAGTAAGGCGTGCATGGTGACTGAAGCTTTTCCCACATTCCAGGCATTGATATGGTTTCACCCTTGTGTGAACTCTTTGATGGGAAGTAAGGTTAAAACTCTGACTGAAGCTTTTCCCACATTCCAGGCACTGATATGGTTTCTCCCCTGTGTGAATTCTTTGATGGGAAGTAAGGTGTGAACTCTGACTAAAGCTCTTCCTGCACTCCAGGCACTGATATGGTTTCTCACCTGTGTGAATCCTTTGATGAGACTTCAAGGTACCACTCCCACCGAAGCTTTTTCCACACTCCAGGCATTGATATGGTTTCTCCCCTGTGTGAATTGTTTGATGGGAAATAAGGTGTGAACTCCGAATGAACCTTTTCCCACACTGTGGGCATTTATATGGTTTCTCCCCTGTGTGGCTTCTTTGATGAGAAGTCAGCTGTGAACTCCGAATGAAGCTTTTTCGACACTCCAGGCATTCATATGGTTTCTCACCTGTGTGAATTCTTTGATGGAAAGTAAGTTGCCTACTGTCACGGAAGCTTTTCCCACATGCCAGGCATTTATATGGTTTCTCCCCTATGTGAATTCTTTGATGGGAAGAAAGGCTTCCACTCCGACTGAAGCTTGTTCCACACTCCAGGCATGTATATGGTTTCTCACCTGTGTGAATTCTTTGATGGGAACTAAGGCTTCCACTCTCATTAAAGCTTTTCCCACAATCCAGGCATTTATATGGTTTCTGTCTTGTATGAATTCTTTGATGGACAGTAAGGCTTCCACTCTGAGTGAAGGCTTTACCACACTCCAGGCATTTATATGGTTTTTCCCCTGTGTGAGTTCTTTGATGGACAATAAGGTGTCCACTGTGACGGAAGCTCGTTCCACACTCCAGGCATTTATATGGTTTCTCCCCTGTGTGAATTCTCTGATGAGAAGTAAGGCTTCCAATCCGACTGAAGCTTTTCCCACACTCCAGACATTCGTAAAACTTGACCTTTGTGTGAATCCTTTCATGCATAGTTTGGCTTCCACTCTGAGGGAACCTTTGTCCAAATTCCAGGCATTTATATATTTTCTTGCTATAGGTGCTCCACTGAGTAATAATATCTGATGTTTCAGGAATGTTCTCCCTGCTTGGAGCGAGCTCATTGCTATTACCTCCTTGGTATGTTTTCGGCAGTAGGGAGCCATCCCCCTCTAATAGATTGAAATTATTCCTCCCTTCAGATGTGATTTTTCCGGTCTCCTTCCTAGGTGCATCATGATATTCAAATTCCATTTTGACATCTGAATATGTATCCTCTTTCTCCATCACTGGTGGTCCTTTTGTTTCATTCGCTGACTGCCACATGCCATCTGCTGAAAGAAAGAGAAAACTAGTGTGATGACAAGCCACTGTATCCGTGTCACAATTTCCTGGTAATGGTAGTGTTTGCACTCAGTGAAATCTCAGGGCTTAAGCGTAAAGATTCTGTAGGCAGTTCTCCCCTTTGCTTACTCAATACATATTAAATTCCAAGCAAATGAAGTTGGCTGAGCAGCCAATCATATGGTAATAGCCCAAGGCAACAAAAGAGAGAGAATATACAATGGAGAACTTCTGCCTCAAAGTGACCCAGTTTCCCTTTTCCTTCCTGGGTGTATTTACAGGAAAGGGGTGTTTAGGGCACTTGTGGAAGGAAGAAGGGCTGCTCCAGCCACCATGCCATTGGCTGTTAATCAGAAGAGAAGAATCCTGGATAGGGTTTAAAATACGCAAGGAAACCCAGGATTTCCTCTGGAAGAGGCTGGACTTTATACTGGCACAGTGTTTGTGCCAGACCCTTCAGAAAAACCTTTTGGGGGTAGTGTGTGTGTGTTGTGTATGCATCCATGCCTGGAAGTTATGGTTGACTTCTGGTGACCCCTAGTGGGGCTTGGACGTTCAGAGAGATGGCTTGCTACTGTCTGCTTCTGTGTCCTGACCCTGGTATTCCTTGGAGGTCTCCCATCCAAGTACTTGCCAGGGTCGGCCCTGCTTAGCTTCCTGGGCTACCCAGGTCAGGGCACCCTTCAGAATCACTTACCACACTGCCCTGTGCTGGGAGGAGGGGGGAACCAAGTAACATGTGTTGACACGACAGCTGTCGGGAGTTGCTCAGGGTCTTGGTCTCAGTGGTAAAGCACATGCTCTGCATGGCAGGCAAAACATCCCTGGCTCAAGCCCTGGCAAATCCAGTTAAAGGGATCTCAGGAGACAAAAGGACTGGCCTAAAGACTCTGCCTTTCAGAACAGACAAGCCTTGGCTGAACTTGGCAGAAGTGATCTGACACGGTACAAAAAAGTTGCCTCTTTTCATAGGTTCAAGGTTTACAGGCACCATCTTGGCGTCTGCAACCCAGCCAAGCTCCTGTGAGGAGAAATTCAAACTGTGAGAATAAACAAGGCCCAGAGACCCGCCAACCCTTGGAAGGAAGTGCAGGCAACAAAACAGTCTCATGACGGACCTAAGCAGCGACCTTCCAGACCCTCCTCTTCTTCGGGGCCCAGAAGAAATGGCTCTTCTTCTTCCTCCAGCCAGGAGATGACATCAGGTTTCGAAATCTGGGGCCCTTTTTGTCAGGAAGAATAAATCACAACGTTATAACTTTTCTGTATGCTCATAACTGAAGCAATTCCAAGCCAGATTGACTGTCCTTCCAGAAATACCCAACAAGCAGGAAATAGAGGTGAGGTGGGGTATACTATGGGGCAACAGCCATCAGTCTGGCACTGGAATCCTGTGCCCACTTCCTGCCAGGCGGAGATGGAAATGCCAGCTGAGAACTAAGAAAAGTGGCAGAGAAGCCACTGGAGTTCCCTCCATGGGTAAGACAAGGCCCAGACTACAGGGAAGCCCCTGTTGAGACGACCTCATCTTCTCTCAACTTCAAACATCCCTTGGCCCCTCTTTTGACGCCCTCCCATGTGATCCAGGCACAGGGCTGCCAAGCATGGGCTCCCTCTCGGCCAGCAGAGCCAAGAAGCCCTCCCGCATCAGAGGAAGGATCGTGGAGGGTGGCAGAGACCAGCCACTGGGCACAGGGAAGACAGCCCGACCTCTCCTTATTAAAGACCTCCTTCCCGTCACTCATCGCAGCAAGATCAGGAAAGCCCCACAGAAAAGGATCCTCACCCAGAGAGGCCACCATCCCGAAATTCTCCAGCATGACTTCTTTGTACAGAGCTCTTTGGCCTGGGTGCAGCAGGGCCCACTCCGCCGGGGTGAAATACACGGCCACCTCTTCAAAGGACTCCCAGCCCTGGAAGAAGAAAAAGAAGAAGAAGAAGAAGAGGTTGGATTTATACCCTGCCCTTCACTACCCAAAGGAGTCTCAGAGTGGCTTACAAACTCCTTTCCCTTCCCCTCTCCTCCCCACAACAGATACCCTGTGAGGTAAAAGAAGAAGAAGAAGAGGAGATTGGATTTATACCCCGCCCTTCACTACCCAAAGGTATCTCAGAGCGGCTTACAAACTCCTTTCCCTTCCCCTCCCCACAACAGACACCCTGTGAGGTAAAAGAAGAAGAGATTGGATTTATACCCCACCCTTCACTACCCAAAGGTGTCTCAGAGCGGCTTACGGACTCCTTTCCCTTCCCCTCCCCACAACAGACACTCTGTGAGGTAGGTGGGGCTGAGAGAGCTCTTGACAGAAACTGCTCTTTTTTCAAGAACAGCTCTTATCAGAACTACGGCTTGCCCAAGGTCATCCAGCCAGGTGCAAGTGGAGGAGTGGGGAATCAAATCCAGCTCTCCCAGATTAGAGTCCGCGCAATTAACCACTATATCAAACTGGCTCTCTGGAAGAAGAAGGAAGCATTCCTTCATGTCACTGGAAAGCTGGTCCACAGGGGGGGGGGACCCCAAAAGCAGAGACGGTCATTCAATACTCAAAGAGCAGCACAAAGAGGAGGGGAGAAGAGCCTTGCGAGGACACTGGGTTCCCCCCCCCCAGTCTTCCTTGGGGGCATCTCGGGGCCAGAGGGGTTGTTCTCATTGGCAGGGGGCTGGCACCCTGGTGGGGAAGAGGGCAGACACGTACACACAGTAAAGAACCAAACACTTTTCCATGGGGAATTCATGGTCCAGCATTCTTTCATAGTGTCAGCTTGGGCTTGTCTGTAGATCCCATCATAGACAGGGGGGGTGCCCATTTTTGTTGCCTTTCCAGTTGGCAGCGCCAGAACCAAAAGGAAGGAGCCCAATCCTCTGAGCCTTCTAACAGAGAAGGGAGCATCCCTGCTCCCCGCTGCGCACGTCCCCACTGCCACGTGTCCCCCCCATACCTCAACTGGCTGCATTGTGCCTTTTCCCCCTTCGCCACACAGAAGAGAAGATGAAGAAGGAGTCAAGGGTATCTTTTCACTGCTGCCTGGGAAGGAGAGAAAGAAAGAGGGTGGGAGAAGCAGCTCTCCTTCCCGCAAGAGCCAGCGTTTCACCCGGAGTCTGTGCTTCATCCGCCTCAGCTATACGTCAGCCTGGCTGCCCCTTCACTTGGACCTTTGATTGCTCCATCCCCACCCCCTTCCCCACTGGGGGATATGCAGCTAAGATCTCCTCCGTACATTTCTTGGGGTATTAAACCCACTTCTCGACTGGATGCTCCAGACAACATGGAGTCGGCTGTTAATCAGAAGAGATTAATCCTGAGTAGGGTTTAAAATGCATGAGGAAAGCCAGGATTTCCACTTCAAGATGCCGGATTTTATATTGGCATAGTTTGTGCACCAGGGAGGGAAGGCGGTGTGGTATAGCCCAACCTCGTCAGATTTTGGAATCTAAGCACGGTCAGTACTTGGGTTCATTTATTTATATGACTTATAACCCACCCTCCCCTGTACAACAGGGCACAGGGTGGAGAACAACAATGGTAAACTTATAGAAGAGGAGAAGAGATTGGATTTATACCCTGTCCTTCACTACCCAAAGGAGTCTCAGAGCGGCTTACAAACTCCCTTCCCCTCCCCACAACAGACACCCTGTGAGGTAGGTGGGGCTGAGAGAGCTCTGAGAGAAACTGCCCTTTTTCAAGAACAGCACTGACAGAACTACGGCTTGCCCAAGGTCATCCAGCCAGGTGCAAGTGGAGGGGTGGGGAATCAAACCCGGTTCTCCCAGATTAGAGTCTGCGCACTTAACCACTACACCAAACTGGCACTACACCAAACTGGCAATTAACAAGCAATTAGAATAAAATGATAACAATTTAGAATTAGAAAGAGCTCTTAACAATACTACTAACAGTCACTACCATAAAAGGAAACACAGCATGGCGCCCCTTATCCAAAGGGGATTAATATTGTACAAGTTAAATAAATAAGGAATAATGAATAAGGAAAGGGAAGGGTGAAGAAAAGGTGGGGGGGAGGTCTGTCTTGATGGAAACCATTGTTGTCCTCTCACCCAAAAAAACCCTGGTGGTACATCTCTGTCTTACAGGCCCTGCGGAATTACATCAGGTCTTGCAGGGCCTGGATCTTACTCGGCAAAGAGTTCCGTCAGGGCCAGGGCCGAAAAAGTCTTGGTTCTGGTTGGGGACAGCCGAATACTTTTTTGGCCAGGGATCACCAGTAGGTTTTCATTCACTGAGCATAATGCTCAAAGGGACATACCAGGAGAGGCCCTGGCATGATGAGAGACCATAAAGGAAGACTCTGCAGTGGAAGGCAATTGCAAGCGACTTCTGTTTCTCACTGGCCATGGAAACCACTTGCTGTGGTTGCCTGAAGCTGGCTGCAACCTGACGGGATTGTCCGCGCATCCATTCACAAGACCATTCAGAATCACTTTCAACATTGCTCTGTGCTGGTGAAGGGGAGGTCACATGGGAGCTGTCTGGGGTTGCTTTGGGTGACATTTCTGTGCTGAAGCACATGCTTTGCTTTGCAGGCACAGTGCTGCAGGATCGAGGCCAGGCACCCCCAGTTGGAGGGATCTCAGGAGAAACAGGGCTGACAAACACCTTTGCCAGAGAGTGGACAATGCTTGGCTCAACTTGGCAGAAGTGATGAAGGAAGTTGCCTAGTTAAATCAATGGTGCGACCTCATTTGGAATACTGCGTGCAGTTCTGGTCACCACACCTTAAAAAGGATATTATAGCTTTGGAAAAAGTGTAGAAAAGGGCAACTCGAATGATAAAAGGGTTGGAACACTTTCCCTATGAGGAAAGGTTAAAGCACTTAGGGCTCTTTAGCTTGGAGAAAAGACGACTGAGGGGTGACATGATCGAGGTTTACAAGATGATGCATGGGAAAGAGCAGGTAGAGAAAGAGGTACTTTTCTCCCTTTCTCACAATACAAGAACTTGTGGGCACTCCATGAAATTGCTGAGCAGTCGGGTTAGAACGGATAAGAGGAAGTACTTCTTCACCCAAAGAGTGATTCACACATGGAATTCACTGCCACAGGAGGTGGTGGAGGCTACAAGCATGGACGGCTTCAAAAGGGAATTAGATAGGCATATGGAGCAGAGGTCCATCAGATAGGGGCTCTGGGGCAAGTGATGCTCTGTCTTCTTGGTGCTGGGGGGGGCAACAGTGGGAGGGCTTCTAATGTCCTGGCCCCACTGGTGGACCTCCTGACAGCACTGGTATTTCTGGCCACTGTGTGACACAGAGTGTTGGACTGGATGGGCCTTTGGCCTGATCCAACATTATGTTCTTCTGTTCTTATAAGTTAAATATGTTCAAGACATACAGGAACCATTTCAGCATCCAATAGTCATCCGAGCTCTCTTGAGGACAAATTGTGAGGATAAACAAGGCCACCAGCCCATGGAAGGAAGCACAAGCAACACACAACCCCATGAGAAAAGTCTAAGCGACTACCTGCCAAGTCCTCCTCTTCATCAGAGGTCAGGAGAAATAGCTCTCCACCTTCTTCCAGCCAGGATATGAGATCAGGTCGGAAAATCAGAGGTCCTTTTTATTAGGAAAGAAAAAAACACACACAAAATTATACTTCTGTGTACCCATAAATTCAACAATTCCAAGCCAGGTTGACTGTCCCTCCAAAAAACATAAACAAATAATTGAGTGGGATGGAGTACAGCGTAGGGTCAGGAATCATCTATCTTCTCTTATACTGAGACATTGGGGGGGGGGGACATGTATATGTGGTCCTCCCAACATGTACAGCCAAGTCTGGACTCTTGGAACCACAGATTGCAGACTGGTGAAGTATTTTCCCACCAAAGATAGAAGAAGAAGACGACAAAGACGACAAAGACGACGAAGACGAAGAGGAGGAGGAGGAGGAGGAGATTGGCTTTATACCCCACCCTTCACTACCCAAAGGTGTCTCAGAGCAGCTTACAAACTCCTTCCCCTTCCCCTCCCCTCCCCACAACAGACACCCTGTGAGGTAGGTGGGGCTGAGAGAGCTCTTGACAGAAACTGCTCTTTTTCAAGAACAGCTCTTATCAGAACTACGGCTTGCCCAAGGTCATCCAGCCAGGTGCAAGTGGAGGAGTGGGGAATCAAACCCAGTTCTCCCAGATTAGAGTCCACACACTTAACCACTACACCAAACTGGCTCTCAGTTTGAGACAATTCTTTTGAAAGGGTGCCTTTTACTAAGCATAAAGGTATAGATTGAAGGCAAGACCAAAAGGAGCCTTTTGGAGGTGGGTGGCAATTTAAGCATTTGGCAAGCCAAAATAGTTCCCATGTCTACTTGGGTAAGTTCTAATTCAACAGTTACTCAAATCATTGAGGATTACAGCGCCCAGCTGTGTCTCACTCATGGCTAGTCCACGAGAGAGTTGTGTGGATGCATACATGTCTCTGAAGCACATGAGAGATGGAAGGCCAAATGAAAGAGGGGGAAAGGATGGAAGAGAATTCACAGAGGATGCGTGGGGATTTGAAAAGTGGGAGAGTCATGCTGGAGAAATGGGCAAAGACGAGGCAGACTGGAGCCGGGGAACCAGGGGTCTGGAAAGGGACACTGGGAAGGTCCATGGCAGGAACCAGGAACACCGTCGGAGCAATGGGAAGAAAGAGGGTGGGAATGATAGGCCCTAGTGGGAGACAGAGGGAGAGATTAAGAAAGAGGAAGAAGTTAGGAGTCAGAAGATAAGCTTTTGCCCTTATAATCAGGAAAGAGACAAGTTGCTCATTTGGATGTGTTATGTCTTCTTTTTACGTCTTCTATATTTATCCCTTTACATCTTCTATTACATTTATCCATTGTTGTCAGAAAACCTGACCATTTCTTGTGGCTGGAATATGGAATGCTCTTAGCAGCTCAGGATTGTTTGTTTTGAGGGGAAGCTGTCTTTCAAAGTGTATCTGGAGAACTCGTCTCGCATTTTAAAGAATCTTGGCAAGGATTTCTTCTGAGTCTGATCAAGTTGCCTCTTCCCCTTGGCCTTTGGGCATCTCTTCTCTGGAGAAGAAAGAGAGGTGGGGGGGCGGGTTAGCTGTCACCCTTCTCTATTTTCTGGAGTGAGCTGAGGCCCCAGATGACTACAGGGGGGGGGGGTGTTTGGCATAAAACTACCACTAGCCGTTCTCTGCCTGCTTTCTGCACAACTGAGATGGAAATGCCAGCTAAGAAGTAAGTAAAGTGGCAGAGAAGGCAGTAGAGTTCCCTCCACAGCCACATCTCTCTGCAAGGAGAGCCAGTTTGGTGTAGCGGTTAAGTGCGTGGACTCTAATCTGGGAGAACCGGGTTTGATTCCCCACTCCTCCACTTGCAGCTGCTGGATGACCTTGGGCAAGCCATAGTTTTGTCAGAGCTGTTCTCTCACAAGCAGTTCACTCAGAGCTCTCTTAGCCCCACCTACCTCACAGGGTGTCTGTTGTGGGGAGGGGAAGGGAAAGGAGATTGTAAGCCACTCTGAGACTCCTTTGGGTAGTGAAGGGCGGGGTGTAAATCCAATCTCCTCCTCCTCCTCCTGCTCTTCTGGCAGAGGTCAGCCATTTGGCCCAGGGCAGAAAGCTTGATCACGGCCTTTCTAATTAAGGACCGCATTATGGCCACTCCCTATAGGACAACAGGGAAAGCCCCGGAGGAAAGGACCCTCACCCAGAGAGGCCACGTTCCCAAAATTCTCCAGCATGACGTCCTTGTACAGAGCTCTCTGGGGTGGGCTCAGCAGGGTCCACTCTTCCTTGCTGAAATACACAGCCACCTCTTCAAATGACTCCCAACCCTACAAGAATAAAAAGAGAAATGTCTTTATATAGTTGGAAAGCTGGTTTGGGTGTGTGTGTGTGTGTGGAGCGAAAAACAAACACAGTAAATTAACAGCGGGAAACCAGAAGAAAGAGGAAGCCAGAAGAGAGCCGTGTATGGATGTAATATGTTCGTGATTTTAATAATATTTTTGTTGTTGTTCAGTCGCACAGTCGAGTCCGACTCTTCGCGACCCCATGGACCAGCTCCCGCCAGGCCTTCCTGTCATGTTAATCTACGTATTCTAATGTAGTTTCATCACAACAGTAACAAGTGTTGCAAGATTGAAATAACTGATTATGTTGTAGTTCATCAGAGGATCCGGGAATGAGGGAAGTGTAACGTCCCCATTCGGTTTCTCCTCAGCTGAGGCCTCAGCCAAATGAAAGAAGGCTGAGACAGAGAGAGCTCTGTAAATTAGTAGTTATCATAAAGTTTAAAGTTTGTTTAGAAACTGAGAGTGTGTTAGTATAAAGACAAATGACACCATTTGAAAAGTGGTGGTAGCAGTGCATGAATCCAAGACAGAAGACCAGCAACAATGGGTGAGCAGGAGAGAGAGAGAGAGAGAGAGAGGACAACCAACAAGAAAAGAGGGGGAAATGGAGGATCGAAAATCCTCAGAGACATTGAATCACCAAGCCTTGAAATTTGCCCAGGCATGGAAGACCTGGAAAGAGGAGTTCAATTTGTATGTGGACAGTGCAATGCCAGATAAAAAGAGGGTTTTGAAACTGTTTTCATACAAGAAAGAGAGAAACAGAGATGCCAAATATGGGAACACAAGAACACCAGTGAACCACAACCCTTCTACCTACAAGTGGGAGATTACTATAATCAGGGTTTACTGGGATATCCCTCGGTGAACTGAGGAGACAGCACCAACAAAGACAAGCCCTGTAGTACAATAAGTCAGCCAGAGATCTTCCTGGCCAGTAACCAGGAAACGCTGTGCGAACTCAACCATTAACAAAACAAGGCAGACTCTGGCACAAAGCAACGGTAAAATAATCAGTAAACTGCTACAACTGGATAGTGGCCGAGTACTGAGATGGAACCGAAGCCATCTCAGGGAAACAGCAGCAGCAGTTGATGAAGGCTCGGAGAGCGACGAGAGGCCCATCAGGGACCAACTGAGAGGTCAGCATGAGGGGACCTGAGGGGAATTTCAGCCACATCAGGACAGAGAGAGATACACTGGAGAACAGTCCAGCTGAGAGGCATGAAGAACAAGAGACCCTCCCTGACAGTTGACAAAGGTCACACCAGAACTTAAATGCACAGCAAGTGGATGCGCTAGTAAGAGGCCAGGACACCTCAAGGTAGGTATGTATAATGTATTTAACTTTTTGTTCTTTTAAAAGAAATAGGATGGAGCAACAGGGAAAACACTTTTTATGTTGTATTTCTTCTTCTTCTTCTTCGTCTGTAATCAAGGGTGACATAAGAACATAAGAGACGCCAATGTTGGATCAGGCCAAAGGCCCATCCAGTCCAACACTCTGTATCACACATTGGCCAGAAATACCAGGTGCCATCAGGAGGTCCACCAGTGGGGCCAGGACATTAGAAGCCCTCCCACTGTTGACCCCCCTCCCCCAAGCACCAAGAAGACAGAGCATCACTTTCCCCAGAGCCCCTATCTATACCTTGTGGCTAATAGCCACTGATGGACCTCTGCTCCATATGCTTATCTAATTCCCTTTTGAAGCCGTCCATGCTTGTAGCCACCACCAC